TTATGCAAGAAACATAGGGACGTATCCCGGTGTTTCGGAAAGGTATAAGCATTGGAACGTATTCCAAATGCTCTTAACCAAAGTGGGGGAAACCTAGGGACATATCTCGGTGTAGTTCAAATGGCCAAGGACTAGACCCTTTTGCATCATCTAACCCACCCAAATGTAGAGAGAGAGGGAGATATATAGAGAGAGAGTGATATATGTATGATATATATCAGATTTTCTAACCCTTGAAATGGGAGGAGAGGCCCTCTATTTATAGAGAAGATGAAGGGTTGAAGCTTCTGAGGGATGCTAGGCAAAAGGGTCAAGGGGGTCAAGCTTCTTTTTTTTGGGTGAATAAGGTGGGTCAAGTTTCTCTTAGAAGCTTGGAGCAAAAGGGCCAAGCTTCTTGGCGAAGCTAGGCAAAGGGGTCAAGCTTCTCTTAGAACCTCGTGCAAAAGGTGCAAGCTTCTCTTGGAAGCTTAGAAGGGTTCAAGCTTCTTGGAGAAGCTTGGAGCAAAGGTTCAAAAGGTTCAAGCTTCCCCAAGAAGCTAAAACCAAGGGTCCAAAAGGTTTAAGCATCCTCAAGAAGCTAGAACCAAGGGTTCAAAAGGTTCAAGCTTCCCTAAGATGCTAGAACTAAGGGTTCAAAGGGTTCACGCTTCCATAAGAAGCTAAAACAGGGTTCAAAAGGTTGAAACCCTCTCAAGAAAAAGGCTCGGCCAGAAAAATTGGCCGATCCACCAAACAGAGTGCTGACCGGCCAAACATTTGGCCGATGGCAACGAAACACAACTGGTGGCCTCAAGACATGGCCGGTGATGTGTGGGGATGGCCATCAAGCCACTCCCTGCCCCTCAAAGGCAAAACACAAGTGTTTGGTGGAAAACCAAACACAAAACAGTCGAGTCGAGAGATCCTGAGGCAAGGCGCGCAGCCGAGACCTCCGGGAACTCAAGACAAACACAAACAAGGACGATCACCGAGTATTCAAATGGTGACGCCCAAGTCTTGAGGACGGTCAAAAATGCGGTGTCTAAAGTTGCCCCTCTTTGACAGAACTCAAAAGTCATAAGAATGACGGGAGTGAGTCTCAAAGCCCAAAGACGACCCATTTTTGACAAGGCCGAAGACTTAGACAAAGCATACAAGCAGCAGACAAAGATATGCACCCGAGGGCAGGGGCAAAATGCAAGACAATGCACGAAGCCGAGCATAACTTATGATCATGCAAGAAACATAGGGACGTATCCCGGTGTTTCGGAAAGGTATAAGCATTGGAACGCATTCCAAATGATCTTAACCAAAGAGTGGGAAACATAGGGACATATCCCGGTGTAGTTCAAATGGCCAAGAACTAGACCCTTTTGCACCCTCTAACCCACACAAATGTAGAGAGAGAGGGAGATATAGAGAGAGAGAGTGATATATGTATGATATATATCAGATTTTCTAACCCTTGAAATGGGAGGAGAGGCCCTCTATTTATAGAGAAGATGAAGGCCTGAAGCTTCTAAGGGAAGCTAGGCAAAAGGGTCAAGGGGGTCAAGCTTCTCTTAGATGCTCGGAGCAAAAGGGCCAAGCTTCTTGGCGAAGCTAGGCAAAGGGGTCAAGCTTCTCTTAGAACCTTATGCAAAAGGTGAAAAATGTGCAAGCTTCTCTTGGAAGCTTAGAAGGGTTCAAGCTTCTTGGAGAAGCTTGGAGCAAAGGTTCAAAAGGTTCAAGCTTCCCCAAGAAGCTAAAACCAAGGGTCCAAAAGGCTCAAGCTTCCTCAAGAAGCTAGAACCAAGGGTTCAAAAGGCTCAAAAGGTTCAAGCTTCCTCAAGAAGCTAGAACCAAGGGTTCAAAAGGCTCAAAAGGTTCAAGCTTCCTCAAGAAGCTAGAACCAAGGGTTCAAAAGGCTCAAAAGGTTCAAGCTTCCTCAAGAAGCTAGAACCAAGGGTTCAAAAGGCTCAAAAGGTTCAAGCTTCCTCAAGAAGCTAGAACCAAG